TGAGGGGGTGGTCCCTTTGTCATATAGGGCTCCAACTTTTCTTTTTGCAGATTCTTTTTTGTAGCAAAAACCACAATGGTTGTCATGCTTTAATAGCTTGCATAGTCTATTATGGATTGCTTTATTGGTTGGGACCAGATTTTCAAAGATTTCCTTTCTTTTTTGCTTTATTTTGAACAAGCTGATGCTTATCATTAATCTTGCACCAGTGGATACCACTGAGATTTCTTTGGAGAAGCCATATGTCCATGTCTTCCTCATCTCTATCATTTTGTCAAAGGTTTGGAGTAAAACCTTGAATCCTAAAGCTTGTCTCTCTTGGATGAACTCGATCCCACAAAGCAACTCTTCAAAGTCTTGAAAAGTTTGATCTTCATTCGCTTATACCTTGATTTTCTTGGACTAGATTCCAATTTCAACCATATGATGATTGGGGAAATATTGAGATTTCTCCCATTCTGGTGCTGCAGAATAGATTTTGACAAACACTACCCCTTGAACTTTGGTGCAAGTTTTAAAGTCTTTCACTTCTTGGCGTATTACTTCTGGAAGTTCTGAAACTTCTCATTATCTTTTGAGAGATAAATACAATTTACAAAATCGTAATTGAATAACTCTTTTATTACCTTTGGGTTTGCACCCTACATGAAATTAATTTTGGGATAAATCCCTTCATGGATAGGACTGCAATTCTCAGTGGACCCCATTGAATATGCCATTTTACAAACTACGTGATATTCTTGCAGATATTCTTCACTCATTGTCAGTTTTTACAAGGTGTCTATTATTGCAGCTTTCTTTTCTTTCTTTCTTGAGTAATCAAGTCGAAAGCTATGGCTTTTGGCATTTTGAATAACCAACTTTTCAACTTGAGACATTGATATTTCTGAGGGAGAGTATTTGACATAATAGTCAAACTTCCATGAACTTTCTCCAAATAATTCTACTGAAGAATCACTTTTTTTCAAAATTTTCTTTTAGCTATTGTTTGGAGCTTTTCTTTACCATATGGCTAGATTCTTTAGAGCTAATTTTGACAGTAGTAGTTACTCCGAAACTCATTAATATTTCTATAAGCTCTTTGACCTCTTCAAGGGCATCTTGCCCCTTATTTAATAACTCATGGCCTTTAATAATCTTTTCTTGGCCTTCATCCATAAGGTTATGGCCTTCATCCATTCTTTTTTGGCCTTCAATAATTTTTCTCGGCCTTCTCTTATTTGGCTATTGCCCTCACTGAGTATCTCTTAACTTTTGAGAATAAGGTCTTTCCCTTTATTGTGGAGTTTCAGGATTGCATCCATTAGCTCCTTCTCCGCTCAAGAAATCTGCAAGACAATTATTAGTTCCTTTGACATGTTCAATTTCAAAATCATATTTAACAAAGAAAGTTTGCCATCTATTTAATCTTTTATATTCTGGTGTTAACGTGATTTATTAAAAATAAATCCCTTAACTTGAGTATTATCAGTTTTGACATTAAAATGTTTTTGATAATAAGAAGAAATTGAACTTTTTATTCCATTTTTAATAGCCAATAACTCTTTATGATTTGAATGATATTTAGTTTCTACATTTTTAAATGTACCACTAGCATATCTACAAACTTTTTCTTGAGAATTTTTTAAAGCTGCTCCCCAATAAAAATTTGAGGCATCACATTCTAAAATTAACTCTTCATCTTCTTGAGGGAATTGTAGGCTAGGAAGGTTTTTTCTTTTATTCTTTTCACATGATTAGTGTGATAAGTTTTCCATTGTTGATTTTCCTTTTTCCTAAGCAACTTTTTGCAAAGGATGTCTTAATTGAGCTAGGTTTTGAATAAACTGCTCTACGTAATTGAGTATTCTTAGAAACCTACGAATTTGTTCTTTATATTCTAATTTTTTAGATTCTAATTTATCTGGGAACATCGAAATCTTTTTGCTAATGTAAGGTTGTAATTCTATTCCCGTGGAATCTATTGTTAATCCAAGGAATTCAATTTTGGTTTTTCCTATTTCTGCTTTCTTTTTAGAAAGTAAAAATCCATGTTTCTTGCATAAATATGCAAGTTTTTTAAAATGACATAAATGTTCTTTCTCATTATCACAAAAGATTAGTATGTTATCTACATAAACCATGCAAAATTTCTTAATGGAAGAAAATACATTATCCATCCATCTTTGAAATATTTGAAGCATATTTTTTAATCCAAAAGGCATTACTAACCACTCATAATATCCTGTAGCGGCACTAAAGGTTGTTAGTGGGATATTGTTAGGAGTTAGCTTAATTTGCCAAAATCCTGATTTGCAATCAAACTCTAAATACATTTTCTTTCCCCTAATGCTATTGATTAGAGTTTCTTTATGTAGTAAAAAGTAACCATCAAATTTAGTTTTGCTATTAAGTTGTTTATAGTTGATAACCATTCTAGCTTTTCTTGTTTTTAATTCATTATGATTTCTTACCATAAAGGTAGGACTATTATGCGAACTCTTAGAGGCCTGTATAATTTTCTAGGCCATTAACTCTTGAATTTGCTTATCAAATTCTCCTTTATCTTCAGTGTTATACCTCATTGGTTTGACTTTAATGATAGTTTTTGGGTCTATCAATTCGATTGTGGCATAAGTTTTATTAACTCTCCGTAGTTTTGTAGGATCTTCTCCATAGTTACTTCTTAATTCTTTTGAAATAGATTCTAAAGTTATTTTTTCTTGTGTTTTTTTATTATTCCACCACAATGCTAACACTTGTTTGTTAATATCTTTTGATCAAGTTTTTGTATTATCTTCACCACGTTGGCTGCAAAAATTTAATGGTTCTAATGCTCTAGTAAAAGCATTATAAATTTTGGAGGCGTAAAACCAATGTTCACAAGGTGTATAAAATTTTACATATAATGCAGTTTGAACATACTACTTGAATTGACTTAGGAAATTGTTTCTTAATAGAATATTATTCCCTTCTCGTTACTTTCATAGACTCGAGGAATTATAACTTTAGTTCCACCAATTACAACAGTAACTTTTTCTATTATTGTTTTATATTGAATAATACTTCCATATATAGCTACACCTTTCATAGTTCGAGATGTGTTCCTTCAATAATATTTTGGAAATACATTGATTTTGGCTAAACATATCCCAGACCTTGTTTCTACGAAAGCATGAAAGAACTCTATTTTGTATTCTTCATATTTGATTCTAATGGATATGTATACGCTATAGATACTAGCCTTCATAGTATCGAGGTATAACCATTTCTTTTTCACTTAAGGTAATCTTTAAAGAATATGCTTGGATATTATAGGGCTATACTGATACTAAGAATGTATTTCCTAGCATTAATTCTATACTTGCAATCATTTCTGTTTCAGCATGAGCTGTTATAGTGATTTCATGTTGTATCTTATTCTTATCCTCTATTTTAAGAGGTACTTTAGCATATTCATGTACTGTGGTCACTGCACCATCAAAGTTGTAGTATGTGTATGGCTTAATAAGTTCAAATCTTGATAGGTGTGGGATCATATTACTATGGATATATGTTACTTTTGCTCTTGTATCTATTAGAATAGAAATGTTATGCGATTCTTTCCCATCATAATAATCTCCTTTTATTTTGAAATGTCTAGAAGGAATTTTTAAGGTGTCTAATACCACCTCATGTGTTATATTAGTTGTTCTAGTTAAGACCTTTTTATCTTTTTTAGGATAGCGTATAACTCCTAAGTCTACACTATTTCTATGGTTTGATTCAAGTTTTGTTTTGACTAATAGTTTTCCTAACTCATATACTATTAGTCTAGGCATTTCTCTTTCTCCCATTAGGAGTGATTTTTCACTAATGTCTATTTCCCATTCTTTGGGTAATTCTATTTCAGTGATCATTTCTGGTTTTTGAATTTGCCCTATTTTAGAGAACATAAGATCTAATTCAATATATTCTTTATCTTTAAAAAGATTAGATGGATGACTATTAGTCAATGCATAACTTATTATATAGTATATACTATATGGCATTGATCCATCTTTCATAATGTTTTCTCTAGCAAATTCATGTGCTAAAACTTAAGGTTTTATTAATATTTTTATCATTAATATTTACAACGTATTTTGGATATATTGTCAACATAAGTTTCTGGTAACTAAGGTTACCTTGCACTAATCCAATGATAGCATCCTTTCTATCATTGATTCTATTATCTATTAAAGCCAATTTTATTGCGGTGTCTATTCCTTCTCTAAAATAAGCTTTAATAAGTATTTGTATTTCTCCAATGTGGATAAAACCTATCCTTGATCTATCAGCTTCTTTGATTTTTGATAGTTTGCTTTCTATTTTTGCCTTGACAATTAAAGGTATATTTATTATTCTTGTTATATTCTTGATAGGAATGCTATATTCTTTAGTGGATATACCGTAATAAACTATATCTTTTCTCTTAAAAGGATTACTTATAAAGGAATTTGGTTTGAATTCTTTTTCTAAAGCAAGGTCCATTCTCTTTTGTCTAATTCTTTTATATTTACTTTTATCGAATACAATTATTTGACTATATTCTCCATGTCCTTCATATTCTTCAAAATAAGCTTCTCTTTCTGCAATATTCTAATTCATCATTGCTAAAAGTATATAAACTTTCCACTTCATATATACTTTCTTTGCTACTTATAGAGCTAGCATCTAGTTTACTTAGTTCTTCTTCATAAATTTTTAAGTTTTTAGTACTTTCTCTTTTGTATCTTTTAGGACATTCATTTGCATAATGCCCTTCTTCTTTACATAACCAACATGTGCATTTTTTAGGATTTTTTTTTTTTTACTTTTTTGATGTTTTGGTTTTCTTAAAATACCTCTTTTTCTTTCTAGAAAATTTGTTCTTATTAAACCTTTGTTTATTATTTCTTTTAATTCTAAATTTCTTATTTCTCTTGTTATAGTTGGTGTAACTACATGCTAGCTTGATTGAATCACTATTCTTAGGACAACATAGTCCCTTTTTCATACTTTTTTTTAGTTTGTTTTAGCTATAGGTTTCTAGGCACCATTCATTAATTTTGGTTTTAGCGAACCAAATCCTTAACCCTAAAGTATTTTTCTTAGCTTCTACATATATTCTATAGGCTTCTACCAATTTTATTCCCAAAGGATTAAGAATTTTTCTGAAAAACAATTCCATGATGCCTTTAGTCATTTCATGGTTTGAAGCTTTATAATAATATTTCTAAAATAGACAAATGTATAGATCTAATTCACAGAGATTACATAATTTTAAAATTTGCAAATTCCACACTGTTATTCTTCCAATTCTGGCCTCCTCTTTTCCTTGATTTTCTTCCCAATTTTCTCCTAGGAATTCTCTCCTAATAGCTTATTCAAACCTATTTATTATATCTTGAATTTCTTCATTTTCATTAACTTCTTCTAAAGTAGGATTTCCACTTATAATAACATTACTGTCTTCCTCATTTAGACCAGCAAACCAGTCGTGAACTATCCCTTTAAAGATGACTTCAATAAATCTAACTATTTGTAAGGCATTTTAATTTTTGTTTACTTTCTACCAAAAAATTTTTTTTTTTTGTTTGCTACGGCTATCCAAGTAACTTGGGCTCAGTCACTAATAACCTTCTTTGGGTCGATAACACAATCTAGATCTAACCAAATACCATTAGTACTAATTATCTGTTCTTTGATTCTTACTAGCGTTTCAAGTCTAGATTGATTCCCAAATGTTTTACTCTTTTTATCATATATCACTTCATGTGTTAGATTTCTATTTTTTCTATAACTTTGACTTATG